CGGTGGCGTTGCCAGTAATTGGAACTGAGTAAAAGAGGGCCGATAGTGAAAAAACTCCCTAGGCATTGTTCAGAAAGTCATGTCTTCAGTCGACCGCCATGTTAGTATCTCCAGTTTGCACTACGAAAGGGGTTCACGACCAAGTAATCGAACTAGGTCAAGCTATTACTCTGTAACTTAGGTAATTATGCCCATAGAACATTATTTGACTAAGGCATTAGTTGCTGCTTTTGAAGAATTGCATCACCCCTTCCCCTACAGCAGTGGAAACTTTTTCTGGCTTATTGTCCAACAGTTTTCTAGAAAAGGGCTGTCCAACTTTGGCCCTTCCACATATATATATATATATATATATATATATATATATATATCCAGCGTTTTTAATCTTTGATGGAAGACTTTGTAAACAAGGCACTTGCTAACCTGACAGCCGGCAACTTCTGCCCTTCCTTTGTCTCCTCTTCCGCAGAATGCCCAATTCGTTGAAGCGACCACATCAAAGTACATTGGCGGACAACTGAGAGCCGTTGGAACGAGTCCGGCCGTCCAGTGTGCTTCTCCTCGACCCCCGGCCTACTCCCTCAGTCAGACAGGCACAATCAACGGTAGCACCACATCTATTGTCTATCACAGCACAGCTTCCGTGGAGTCACCGTCACCACAGCAGGGCCGTGCTACCTGTAAGCACTCACTGCATATGATTATCTCTCCGTTTTAGTCCTTCTGATGAATTGAAAATAACCGAAGCAGTGCGAGCTCTGCCTCGACGTGAAGACTAGTATATGGTTGTGCATAAGGTGGGCTGTATGACTAGTTGGCTAGTCAGCTTGTCCACCAAACTAGGTACACCTAGGCTGCTGTCTCACGAGGGGCCGGCAGTGACGTCGGCAGCAGCTAAAGATCCGGATACAATGCTGCGGTTCTAATTTTTCACCATCGTCCATACATCGTTCGGGCAAATGTTTTGTTGTCTTATTGCAAGTTCGAGTGCTACACCTAAATACCTCGTTACCAGTCGAAGCTTTCCTACCCAGACTGGGTTTTGAAGCTTTTGCAACGGTAATATGAGTTGCATTTGAAGTAGAATTCCCGATTCTTCTCTGTCATAAACCCCTCAAATTAAAGGCCAAGGTTATGTTGCGTAAGTCACTTTCAGACTGGGACACCAAAAGATGAGGATGGTCACGGTAGGCGTATTCAGTGCATTTAGAGAGGAGAAGAATCTGATCCAACAATTGTTAATCCCACTTGCGGAGTCTAGATTGTTTGCACGGGAGAACCTGCTTGGGCAGGCAGATTACTGGATAGAATTGATGCCTTCTGTAAGTTGCGACAGGCCGGATGAATAGTTTAATCTAAATGTCAAAAGTCCAAGTTTAATGTCGGACTGCGGCACTTTTACCTGATCCGATTAGCTTCTGTTGTTGGATGAATCGCCTTCACGGATGTCACAGATAGCGGTGGTCCATTGACGGCGATCGGAAGCGTGCTTCTCGTAGATGTCAACCCAGTGCTTGTTCCAGTGTCGCAAGCCGTTAACCGCTACAAGGCTCATGCGTTCGACGCCCCACTTGACGGTGTTGAGCCATGTCTTCAGTCGATCGCCATGTCAGTATCTCCAGTTTGCACTACGAAAGGGGTTCACGACCAATCTGCAGAGGTCCGCCAATGGCTTGCGCAGGACATGACCTAACTATTGCAGTCGGCGATGCTGGATGCACGATGCTTGACTTGGTAATTTGAAACACCTGCGATATGGCTCATTATTGGGAATTTGATCCTGCCGCAAGACTCTTAAGAGGCGTCAAAGACACCAACGGTTAAAGACTTCGAGCGATAGGGTGTCTGCCTTCCTGACTGGCCATGTTTCGCAGGCGTATACTTACACCGGTCTGATTTATGCTTTGTATATCAGCAGCATAGTACGTAAGCTGATGTCTGAGCGGGACTAGTTTGGTGGAAGCGCGGTAGACACTTCGAAAGGCTACTATTTGTATAAACCAATTCATGCGCTCGTCTCGTCGAACACGACGAACAAACTACCCAAGTCAGGGTTCACGGCATCGTTCGTGTTTTAAATAGCTCAAACTTCACTATACGACATCTCCTTCAACAGTAGACTGATCGTTAGCTACTTCCTGTCTCCACTGCAATGAGGGGCAAGAATCTGGAAAAGTTACTTTTCGGGTAAGGATGACTTGTATGGCCGCCTAAATAGGACACAAAAACAGGAACGGCCTTGTGATTAATTTCCGCAAAGGGTTAATATTCTCGTGTCTTAACCCTGACATAAAACTAACATGTAACCTTAATCCTAGCCATAGCCCTACTCTAGGCGTAAACCCTACAGTTAACAATAACTCCAATACGAACGCTCAACAGAATCCTAGCTCTAACCCTAATCCCGACCTTAAACCTGACCTCAAATGTAACTCTAACCCTTACCTTAATCATAAATCTAATTTAACCAGAATTTAGCGCAGACACATGCATTATGGGCAGTTCCTACTTCCGTGTGCTGTTTAAGGCGGCCAGACAAGTCGTCCTTGCCGTTTTCTTTACCCTCTACTCGATTGCCTCACTATACCACGATTAAAGTACGGAGGAAACTGACTTATGCCAGTAATCCACTTAAATGTCCTAATAGACCGCTTTATGACGTGAGAATCGAGT